AGAGAAGAAAATTCTCACTAGAAAGTCTCACTATAATTTATTCGACATAAAAAAAAAGAAGAGAGGTCAAACAGAGGGAGGAAGGCATTCCTCCATGGAGGAAAAAATAATTGTCTTGAAGGTTTTGTAGAGAGATGGTGGAGAAACTTCTTTTGTTTTATCCATTGGTTATCTTTCTAATTGTTAGTTAACGAACAATAAACACTAAATGAAACTACAATATTAATAGTGCATTAATATTTCATAGTTAATCAGAATTTTCTATGACAAAAAAAAAAAGAAGATTCATGAAGAAAAATAATCTATTGGCTGTACTTTATTTCGATTTAGACATCAATATTGCAATGGCAAAAGGACTTTGTAGATGAACCTAGTTGATGTAATGAATTTATGATGATTTAATTAACTAACAAGGCAATCAATTCGGTCTACTAAATGTCATACTCAAGAGGTCATCATCTTTGTCAAAGGGTCTATACATTCCATACATTAGTAGTGAATGTTAGTGGATTTGTTACTATTGCTGACCATGTTAGCCACTAATCTCTATTAAATCATGTCTTTAGCTTCTTATAAGCTTCTCTATACCCTACCTAATCTCATACCATTTTACCTTCTCTTGGATTATGTGGAATGCCTACTTGACTGCCGGATGCAATGCCTATATTTTAATGATTCCAGTACATTTTCAAAATCTTCAATTAGCTTTTAAAGTATCGAAGTTTCAGTTCACTAATTGGCCATAAAGACAGATCAATAGCAAAGTTGAAATATGCCACTTATCCTGAGACTTTGTAGAAAGTTTGGTATGTTAATGTTGTCCCTTGTAATCCGAATATGTGAAACTGCAGTTGTTGAAGGGTGAGATGAGTTCTTCAGTTTTATACAAGCTGTATAATGGGGTTTTCAATAAAAAGTTTATCATTTGCACAAAAAAAGAAAAAAAAAAAAGAAGAAGGGTGAATTGAGGAAGCTGAATGCTAAGCGATATAGTTCTAGTAGTGATAGAATAAAACAGGTCTGTATGGCCAGTTATGTGAAGTGCAATCGTTCTCCTTCATTCACCTTTCGATATTACTTTACGGGCCAAATATAAGAATGAGATCTCTTGGGCTGGCCACGTCTTCTTCTTCTTCGGTTTTTTTTTTTCGCATTCTTCTTATAGATCTTTCAGGCGAATCAGCATTCTTTGGGGAAATAATGTAGTATATTTGGACATTGGGATAATTTAACAAATCTCCTTTGAGTTTTATGACAAATTCATCATAGTTCCCCCTCAAATTATTACATTACACTTATGTCTATTAGCTATTGATTTCCAAGGTAAATGCTGAATTTTACCTGTACGTTTACCATTGACACTTTCTATACAAAGCGATACAAATTATATATAAGAGATTTGTGAAAGTGTTATACTTCCGAGCTATAACTCATAAACAAAGGCATTCGTAAAACCCTTTTGATTCAAATATATAGATTTTTTTTTATCCAACGCCAAAATGATATTGCCCAATAAAAAAAAAAAAAGAAAACTTTTTTTTTTTGGTTAAACCAAACTATTATTAATGCAGCCCCAAAAAAGTACAAAGTTTGGGACCAGCCCTTCTCCAGGAGTACAAGCTCACACACCCTGCGCCACCTCTAATTAACCCCTACCGCCGGCATCTACGAAAATTTGGATACCCCCACGCATCTAATATATAGATATACTCACCTATACACTTAACAATTTAATGTATGCTAAAGTGAGTAGAATAGGGTTTTGAAAAAGTACTCAAAAGTATGCTACTTCCATCATTACCTTCTCGCACGCATTGTGCAAACACTTTTCAAATAGAAAAAAGGGAATGAAGAGGTGGTGGCTGTCAAACTACCAAAGATAAAATTTATATTAGACCTACTACCAAAACTGAATGAGTATAGTGGTGAGTAGGGTCGTCTCCTCAGGAAACCGATAGATTTATCACACACGGGTAATTGGGGGATTTTTGGAAGACAGAGATAGATGAAACAAATTAATGATATAAAATTACTAAATAAACAATCACAATAAATGCAATAACTCAAGAATGAAATAAACAATTAATTGACACACCCTAATTAAGGAGATAATCTCGGCACCGGTTCACACAATTGATCATAGATACCAGGGATAATTCACACGTTCGCAAATAAATTGGTTCTAGCAATTTAGCAACCGCCAAACTCCCAATCTCTCCTTAAGTTTGTAGTAGTTCAGAGATGCTCGTAAACTACCCTCTTGTAAAATAGACAACCCCAGAGACGCTCGAAGGATTTAATCTAATTACAGCTTTAGGAATTAGAGAGACCCAATTCTAGTTAACAAACACACAAGCGGGTTCATTTAAACTAGATTAATTATTCCCACGGCCCAGATTAGACTGCTTGCGAGGCAATAAAATTGTGCCGTTCGCCACTAAATTAAGACAATCAAGTGAAACACACCCTTATCCTAATTGGCGGTATATTATTTAGACAATTGAACAACTGGCCACATTAATTCAATATATCTAAACAATAACAAGCAATTCAAACAAAGAATAATTAAATACTCACAAACGTAGAATTTAAAATAATAAAAAACGATCTCACAATTGCTTGTGTTCCGGCCCTTGATTACTCCTCAACTAGATAAACGAAATTAGCCTTGCCACATAACGACGAAGCAATTCATAGTTTTCATGAAGTTCTTGCTAAACCAAAAACTAAGTGAAAACCATGCGGCCGCTAGGCTACTAACAATGATAAAGCAAAAGCAAGGACAAAAGTCCAAGTCGAAGATACTCTAATCTATTGCTGTCTCTTAATTTATAGTGTTGCCGCAGCTTCCCTTTGCTTGTTGAATTGGAATTTGTTTCCCCCCAGGATTGTTTCCTTAGTTCCCTTTTTGAGTTGCTGCCAAAAATCTTCATTGAAAAGGCTTCCTAATCCCACGTGAGTTCAGAATTTGCTTCCAAAGAAAGGTGGTAATTCCAAGGATAGGACCCGCGGTCCGTCTTTTTCACGCAGCTCTGTGTTGTCTGGCGTGGGCACGCCAGAGAAGGCCTAGTCTTCTAGAATTTGCCTCTTTTTTTCACTTTTTAACACCACTCGCCTACAAATAACACAAATACCAAATCTGGGCAGAAATCCAGTGTCTTGCACAATAAGTGACCAAAATTAAGACTAAATACCAACGAATAAACATTCAATTATCGCCCTATCAAATCCCTCCACACCAAGACAATGCTTGTCCTCAAGCATCTCAGAACTTTGAGATACAATCACAGTTACACACATGTAGCAGTCCACCATGCGAGTACAAATATCTTATTCCTCTAACAATGTTATCAAATTCAGAATATTGCAAGACTCAACCCTCTCTTATAGAATGGTATATGATTACTCACCACACCGACAAGAAACACAAAGGGTCGCTCTCACCACACAATAAAATGATGTTACCATATGCTTGCTAATATATCACATCGCTACTACTTAAACCAAATTTAATGCAAAAATCAAAGGGTCTTGATGCGGGTTGTAATGGGGTTTAGGCACGGGTAGGATCAAACAGGTATTTTAAACTCATTATACCCAAGGAAGTACCATCGACCTACTGCATGAATACCAATTTTCTTTTTCATCCCAATGATCCTTCCAAAGCATACCCATAAATTTTTCAAAAAGTAGCAACTGTAAGTACAACCAAGGACTTCACCCAATCATCTCAGCAGATCACAAAAACACTTTTTTTTTTTTTTCCTTCTTTCTTCTTCTTTTTTTTGCTTTCTTCTTTTTTTTTTCTTGGTGTGCCCCTTTTCTTCTCTTTCTCCCCCCTTTTTTTTGTTTGTTTCAAATATGCCCAACTACAAGGGGATATAGACACACATGCTAACTTCAATCATCCATTGTCAACCCAACTCGAAATTATCATGCACTGAAATCAAGGTATTCCTTTGACACGGGTAGAAACAAAGAGGGTTTAAACAAAAGGGGTTTAGGGGTGACAAAATGAGTTTTTAAACAAAGAAAGGGTCCAGGCTCAACCATGGTCAATTAGGGGAGATCTTACTAGGGTTGGTCTTTAGAAAGCTAAAAATGGCGAACCTAAGTGCCCTTATCATTTTAATGCATCAAACTCCAGGATGTGATCTTGACATGCATAACAAAGCAAGTTCTAGAACAATCAAATCATGTGTGATAGCATTCAAAGAAAGGAAATGAAGTAATTGTCAATACAATGCTCATTAGCTCAACAGCTCACAACAGGGTATTAGCAGTCAAATCTTGCAAATTTCCTCATTCAATTCCATTATCAAGAAAATAAGACATTTAACCACATAATAACACTGTTCATGCTTGTAGAGTAATTGCAATCATCATCATAGCATCAAGTTTTAGACATTTTCAATTTGAAGCCAACCAAACTCATCACCTATATTTTTTTTTCTCTCTTTTTTTTTGTTTTATTGTGTTTTCTTTTCATATATTGCTATCAAACCTAAAGAGCTGAAACTACTCCCCCCCACACCAGAAATCTACATTGTCCTCAATGGAGCAAAGAAAAATAAAAGGTAAAAACAAAGGAACAGGAGTTTCCCTGAAGGTCATGAAGGCACGATAGCACTATGGAGGAGGAGGGTGAGGAGACTGAACGCCAATGTGGGCGACAAAGGCCACTAGATTCTCTGTCTGAATAGTAGAATGGACCTGCAAGGCTCTTTTTTTTTTTTTTTTCTCTCACACTGGTTGGAAGGCGTGGGCATGCCTTGAAACCCATAGTCTTCTGTTCATCAAACTCTAATCCCAATAAAACGTCACAAAACACACCAAAGACCTACAATACCGATTTTCTATCAATAGAAATCCAAAACAACCTGATCTTGAACACAAAAATATGAAATAAAAAAATAAAAATTGACTAAAAATTGAAAATCTTGGGTTGCCTCCCAAGTAGCGCCTTTCTTTAACGTCTTTGGCTAGACAATACCACGTGCTCAATCTGGATGTAACTCAAATTTCTTTGCAACTCTTGACATCTTGTGCGAATCAAAATTGCAATTGATTACAACCTTCAACGCATTTCTACCATTTAATTCAAACTTTTGCTGCATGAAAGGGTCAATTACATCTATAACAAAAACAGAATGTGCCTCATTGGAACATTTAATGGCATTACAAGTATTGAATTTTATTATGTCACCATCAAATTCCATTGTCAAGGTTCCTGAATAAACATCAATTTTTGTTTTGGATGTCATTAAAAATGGCCTACCTAACAAAACTGGGGGTGAAACAGAAAAATCATCATCCATATCTAGCACATAGAAATCTACAAGAAAAACCAATTTATCAACTTGAACTGGAATATCCTCCAATATCCCATCAGGATATGCATTAGACATATCAGCAAGTTGCATAATGGCACTCGTTTCTTTTAATGATCCAAGATTTAGAGAATTATAAATGGAACGAGGCATAATATTTATTGCAACTCCTAAATCTATCAATGCTTTTTCGATCTTAACGTTCCCTATTTTGCAAGGAACAGTAAACATACATGGATCCTTATGTTTACAAGGCAATTTCTGTTGTAGGACCACTGAAACATTTTCTCCCATATAAATCTTTTCAAAGTCCTTCAACTCAACTTTGCAAAAAATGTCAAAAACTTCTTGTTCTTGCTCCTCTTTCCTAGATTTTGCATATCGACTGGAAAATGGAGGAGGAGGCGTCACCACTACTGGGGGTGCATCTCTGGGCTCTTTCCTTGGAAGGGATTGAGTTGGAGATTTCATTGTTTCTTCCTCAACTTGCTCTTCAAGATCATGCTTAGATACTGCATTTTGATATTCTTGTAATTCTTTGCCACTTCTCAAAGTAATTGTACTCACATTCTCCATTGGATTGGGAATCACTTGAACTGGTAGCTTTCTTCCACTATTCTCAAAGTTGCTCAATGAAGAAGCCAGTTGTGACATTTGTGCCTCCAAGATCCTAATGCTTGCGCGTGTCTCTTGTTGAAATCTTTGTTGGTCCTGCCGCATTTGACAAGTGCTGTCAGCTAGTGATTTAACCAAGTCTTCTAGGGACATACCTGAATCAGATGTGAATGGTTGTTGTACTGGTTGTCTTTGTTGAAATGGTTTTTGGAATCCCGAAGGTTTCTGAGCATAGCTGAAGTTGGAGTGGTTCCACCACCCTGGATTGTATGTGGGCGCATATGGGTCATTTCTCCATTGGGGTGGTCCAGACATACCTCCCATGGCATTGGCCTGCTCATATGGATCTTCCTGAAGAGTTGGGCACATGTCGGTTACATGTTCGGGGGCCGCACATATCCCACATGTTTTTACAGTTTGAACCTTCCCCATTGCCATCTGTCGAACCAAAGTTGTTAGCTCTATTAACTGATGTGCCAGGTCAACATGATTGACCTTATTGACTCTCCTAGTTATGCCCTCGGACCGGGTCCCAAACTGCTGAGAGTTCTCAGCCATGTTTGAAATCAGCAGTTTGGCTTCATCTGGGGTTTTATTAACCAAAACTCTTCCACTGGCTGCATCCACCATGCTCCTCTCCATTGGAAGAAGTCCTTCGTAGAAGTATTGGATCAACAGTTGGTCAGGAATTTGATGGTGCGGGCAACTGGCACACAATTGTTTGAAACGCTCCCAGTATTCATTGAGGGTTTCTCCATTTGCCTGCCTTATTCCACATATCTCCTTGCGGATGTTGGCTGCCCTCGAAGCGAGGAAGAACTTCTCAAGAAATTGTCGTTTTAAGCCTTCCCACATAGTGATGGACCCTGATGGCAAGTAGAAAAGCCAATCCTTAGCCTTGTCTGCTAAGAAAAACGAAAATGCAAGCAACTTGATTTGTTCCTCAGTAATGCCATGAGGTCGCATGGTGGAACACACTACATGGAATTCCTTCAAGTGCTTGTGTAGGTCCTCACCTGCAATACCACGAAAAATCGGCAATAAGTGAATTAATCCAGATTTTAGCTCAAAAGCTTCCTCAGTATCTGTGTATGTGATGCACAGAGGTTGTTGGTTAACATTCGGGGTTGCGAGCTCCCTCAAAGTCCTTTGGGCTGCCATTGTCTCGTCTAGTCCAGGGAAGTCGTCTTCCAGCTCAACTGATGAGTCGCCCAAGTCAAAACTTCGTTCAACTCCGGAAAGCAGGGTCGCGGAAGGTTGTTGTTTTAGCAACTTGGTCTCCTTCGTTAGCCTCCTGGCAGTTTTCGCGATCTCCGGGTCAAACTCGAGGTTTCCTGTACGAGAAGATCGAGGCATAAAACAAGGCTAGAGTAGCCTGTGCAATAAATCACTTAAGCACCAGTTCCCCGGCAACGGCGCCAAAATTTGGTGGCTGTCAAACTACCAAAGATAAAATTTATATTAGACCTACTACCAAAATTGAATGAGTATAGTGGTGAGTAGGGTCGTCTCCTCAGGAAACCGGTAGATTTATCACACACAGGTAATTGGGGAATTTTTGGAAGAGAGAGATAGATGAAACAAATTAATGATATAAAATTACTAAATAAATAATCGCAATAAATGCAATAACTCAAGAATGAAATAAACAATTAATTGACACACCCTAGTTAAGGAGGTAATCTCGGCACCGGTTCACACAATTGATCATAGATACCAGGGATAATTCACACGTTCGCAAATAAATTGGTTCTAGCAATTTAGCAACCGCCAAACTCCTAATCTCTCCTTAAGTTTATAGTAGTTCAGAGATGCTCGTAAACTACCCTCTTGTAAAATAGACAACCCCAGAGACGTTCGAAGGATTTAATCTAATTACAGCTTTAGAAATTAGAGAGACCCAATTCTAGTTAACAAACACACAAGCGGGTTCATTTAAACTAGATTAATTATTCCCACGGGACAATTTTCCCACGGCCCAAATTAGACTGCTTGCGAGGCAATGAAATTGTGCCGTTCGCCACTAAATTAAGATAATCAAGTGAAACGCACCCTTATCCTAATTGGCGGTATATTATTTAGACAATTGAACAACTGGCCACATTAATTCAATATATCTAAACAATAACAAGCAATTCAAACAAAGAATAATTAAATACTCACAAACGTAGAATTTAAAATAATAAAAACGATCTCACAATTGTTTGTGTTCCGGCCCTTGATTACTCCTCAACTAGATAAACGAAATTAGCCTTGCCACATAACGACGAAGCAATTCATAGTTTTCATGAAGTTCTTGCTAAACCAAAAACTAAGTGAAAACCATGCGGCCGCTAGGCTACTAACAATGATAAAGCAAAAGCAAGGACAAAAGTCCAAGTCGAAGATACTCTAATCTATTGCTGTCTCTTAATTTATAGTGTTGCCGCAGCTTCCCTTTGCTTGTTGAATTGGAATTTGTTTCCCCCCAGGATTGTTTCCTTAGTTCCCTTTTTGAGTTGCTGCCAAAAATCTTCATTGAAAACACTTCCTAATCCCACGTAAGTTCAGAATTTGCTTCCAAAGAAAGGTGGTAATTCCAGGGATAGGACCCGCGGTCCATCTTTTTCACGCAGCTCTGCGTTGTCTGGCGTGGGCATGCCAGAGAAGGCCTAGTCTTCTGGAATTTGCCTCTTTTTTTCACTTTTTAACACCACTCGTCTGCAAATAACACAAATACCAAATCTGGGCAGAAATCCAGTGTCTTGCACAATAAGTGACCAAAATTAAGACCAAATACCAACGAATAAACATTCAATTATCGCCCTATCAAGAGGAGATATAAAAAAGGGTTACAAATTCTTTAAAATATGGCAAGGGTAAGCATGCAAGTAACATATAACATGAAACAAACATGTTAAGGAAACCTTAAAACAAGAGAGGTAACAGTAAGTTTGAAAACTTTGGTGCAGCTAAATGAAGTCAAAACCCTAAAACAAGGTTGATGGAATTATCCCTTGTAAACTTTATGTGTCCTTCACCAAGTGAAAAAATACTGTTCAAAATTCTTATTTCTATCGGAACCATTTCGAGGAACTCCAATTCGGATGTCAATACTAAAAGAAATTTTCCCTATGGTACGACTGATTTTGAAATTCACTAATTATTTGTATAATTGTATCATATATGTGCTTTTATGTATTGTGTAATGATTCACATCAAATTCATGAGAAATTTCGCATCCCTCTCACAGAAGTTAGCAAAAGCATTGTATATAGGAAGCTGAAAACCAAACAAGACTTCATTATTAGGTTATCAGTATTATTGGTCGTATCCAAGTGGCATCATGTTTTGTTTATTCAAGTGTCATAATGTTATTAATAGTATAATTGGGTTGCATGATTATGGTAGAAAGTGTGGAATATGCGATTAAACTCCGTGTTAGGAGTACTGATTTTGCTGTGGGTTTTTTCGTTTTCTTTGTCACCTGCATGGTGCTTTAGAGCATAAGCCCTTGTTTTGTTTCGAAACATCACCGCCAAAATTGCCAATAGCATCTCGGAACATGAACACAAAATGAAAGATGTGAGGAAACTTTAATGAAGATATGCCTTGAGATTTAAACACCAAAGACAAAAGCTCGAAAAATATTATCAACGGATCAAAATAAGAACATGCGTGTTGGTAAAACACTCCAACAAGTTAAGTCGAACCAAGATCAAAATAATCAATTATTTGATTTCAAGAGTCATAACTTTTGCTTGTAAAGAACAAATAAAGTTAAACAATTTATTGCTTTTTCCTCCCAATCAGCTGTGTACCTCAACATTATTTCACGTCAAAAACTTGTTTTTCCTCGGATTAAATACCCTAGCATCTGAGGTTATCACCAGTCCCGACACCCAATTGTCTACAATATTCAGTATAATACTCAACTCGAGCACTAACTGTGTTTGGATTTGCACCATCACATTCAAGCTGACCATTAATGGCACGAATTGTAGCCCCAAAACCCTGGCCAGAAGTGATAAGATCATGACAATGGTTCATCCAATACCACAAGCCAGTTTTGAATGAAATAACATTATTTGTAGCTACAGTTTCAGGTTGGCTGAGTCCATTGAATCCAATGCTTTCACCTGCTGGTCCATAGTTAAAGTTCCATGATAACTGTATTGGACCCCTGCCGTAATATCCCTTGCCTGGCACACATGGATACTGAGTGTTGCTCTCATCACAGTAATCTCTGGAGGGGCCGTCTATCTCTTCTATGTAGCACAAATCTGCGCAATATAAAGAAATTTTGTCACTCAATTGAAATGATTGATAAAGGGTTAGAATCAAAGAAAATCAGCAGGTCTGGAATTTTTTCTAAATTTTTAGATTTGATTGTTTTACTGATGAATTCAATTGGTGAGAAAAACTTTATCCCATTTTGTAAAAATTGGATTGGACAGACTTAAAGTAAACACTCTTTTTATGAGGTAAAATTTTAGAATGATTTAACATTATAGGGTTATACGATAGATAAATAAAAATTGGCAATAGCAAGATTAAGAAGGGACCAACAGTGATATAAAAATTACAAAGGTATCATGGACGTCTAAAATATATTTGGCTAATAAATTTGAACTAATTTACGGCCAAATTTAGGTGAAATAGTTAATTCTACTTGGTAAATTGGAAGTTCGGAAACGTGTATCTGTCAGTTGTCATACTCATGAGCGAGCCAATCTTAACTTAAAAAAGAAAAAGAAAAAAAGAAAAAGAAAAAAGGAATCCAAAAGATAAAAGTAGAAAAGGCATGAATTTTAAAACGTAATCGTAATACCTTGTACCCGAAACAAATATGTGCAATACTTATTAAGCTAAGCAAAGCCACATGATCTACTCTTAGATGCAGCAAAATATACAACCACCTTAAGCTTGGAATGTAAAGGCAGAAAAACTTGCTTATGTAGATATAAAAGTGACCACTACAAGAAAAGTAAAAAGAATATGGAGAGAATAATCCTTCTGTTCATCATGATAAATTATTTAACAGTAATAAATCTTTCATATTCAAGTTTTATTTTTTGAAGAAAAAATTCTTGGATAATAGTGCACAGGAGATTCCAAGATACACTATCTAGAAATTCACAGGAGCTACTAAAAAAGTAGAAAATATCTTCAAAATTTAATTTCCAAGCTAGTGTTATTCAAAACTTACGTCCAGTCTCATGAGTGACATGAGCAAAGAAAGCAGCAATCTCTCTTTTAGAATCATCAACAGAACCAACGGTTCCAAACTGGGGATACGAATTCAGAGCTTCAAGAAAAGCTGATCGAGTATAGAACCCTTTTCCAGCACAGCTTGAAGCAGCTTGATCAGCAATCTCATTAAAGAAAGCGTCCGTCACAATATCAGCAACTGAAACGCCACTATTACCACTGCTCGGAGCAGCGGTGCAAGGGCCGGATTGACAGCCAGAGCCGCAGTAGTCGTTGCCAGTACCGCAATAGCCGAATTTGCTGCAGCACAAGTCTGGTGCACAGCCGCAGTTTTGGCTTGAAATCAGCTGTGGAAAGGCTCCTACAAGAACTACAATGGAGAAAATGATGGTTGGAAAACTCTTCATTTTTGGATTTGATAAAGGAGAGAAGCTTGTGGGCAGAAGTTGTATCAGAAAAAAGGGTATATATAGGGAAGAGAACTGAAAACTGATCAGCTTGTGTGAAGCATGCACAGCTGTTATTATTGAAAATATTGAATTTGAGCAATTAAAGAAAACAGAACAGAAGACGAAAGCGTGAATGGTTGACTTCTATCGGGTGTATTGACTTTGACATTGTCAATGAAGCGGAAACTTTCTTTCTTGGTTTCTAGAATGGGAAAGGTCAAAAAGGAAGGTTTTGGCCAATTCGTATGAACAATTGTGAGAATAAGGCATGTAGACTCACAAGTCCCCACTATAATGTGTGCAAAAATATAATTTGAAGTTGCCCAAATCATTTAATTTCATGCTTGTTATTGAGTTTTTTGCCTAACTGTGTTTTAGTAATACTTCAAAATTGTGTTTGAGTTAGAACGGAAAAAAATATGAGACATACTTATTTTTTTAATTGCAATTCCAGAAATAAAATCTTATAAAACATGTATTAGAAAAATTTTGAGGGTAAATGATATGAAAAAAAAAAGAAATAGTTCTATAAATTGACATAAGTGTTCATCGGCTTTTGGAAAAATTAAGAAAGAATAAAGCAGCCGACATATATATCATGCATAACAACATTATGTGGCTTTTGTTAGTACACGCTATGACCATATATGTTTCATTTGAGATGTTTGTCGGATGTGTTGAATTGTTGGCAATGAAATGCTCCAAAATGTTTTCATG